CAGCGCCATCAACGTGCAATCTGACAGCTCAGCATCATCTGTCTCGGATCCCCCTGCATCAAAAAGTGAAGTAAATGAGCCTTGGGGGTTTAGGTTATTAAATGTTACGTGTGGGAGATAAAAAGATAAAAAAAAATTATTTGATATTTCAAATGGTTGAGTCAAATAAATAAGGTTGATATTTTAAAATGAATGGTGGTGATTGGAAGAGATTGACGCTGATGATGTAATGAGAAAAAATGGGAAACAACTCATTTTTACCTTTTTACCGTTTAATAGTTAACTCTCAAACTGTCCAATGATGTCAATGATGAGTACAACATTTGATACACAAAGTAGTGAAGATTTCTGGGAAGCAATTTCAGAAGAACAACAGGGAAGTTGCGACAGAGCTGTAGCAAAAACCTATACAAAAATCAACAAAAATAAAAACCAATTGGAAGAAAATAAAACTAAAATGATGTAAAAGATTATTTACTAAATATTATAATAAACTAAAAAAAGAAAGGTTCGCTTAGTGTGATAGAAACAATGTGAAAGCTTGTTGTTAACAATAAGGCTTCAAATGTTGCCCATTAACTTTAAATGTACTTTCATCTACCAAATTGTTTATCAACACAACACCATAAGGAAAAACTTCATGGATAAAATGGACCAGACCATCTAGATTTTAACTTCCTAGGAAATAGCTTTAGAAGAGAGTTGAATAACAAGACATGTTGTCTAACATTAAATTTCCCTGCCAAAACATGTTTGTCATACCATTTCTTACTCTTATCTTTGTAAATCTTAGAATTCTCATAGTCATTATTCCGCAGCTCTTCTAATTCATTGATGTCCAACATCCGTTTCTCGCCTGCAACATCCAAATTAAAGTTAACTACTTCAAAGCCCACTTGGCTTTATGCTCTAGCTCTATGGTAAATGGCAAGCTTTGTCATACACAAGGCGATAAGGAGACATGCCTAACAGAGTTTTATACGCTGTCTTATAAGCCCTATTTTTGTGGGAAAACCTTAGAATTGCTTTAGCATTGCTAGTAGGAAATGCTATAACTTCCACCCATTTGGATACGTAGTCAACAGAGACTAGAATAAAAAGGTTTTCACGTGATGAAAGATATGGTCCCATGAAATATAACCCTCAAACATCAAACAGTTCAATCTCTAAAATAGGTTGCATTGACATCTTATTGCGACGATAAATGCTACAGTTCGTTGGATTCGTTCACATTGCTTAACAAAATCATCAGCATCCGTGAACAACAACGACAAATAGTAGCCACTTTGTAGGACCTTTGCTGTAGTTTTCATTCTTCCAAAATGACCACCAAAAGATGTATTGTGGCAATGATGAAAATTGATTTGCTGCTTACATTCAGGGACATATCTTCTTAGAATTTGATCATTGCATTGCTTGAAAAGGTATGGATCCTCCCAATGAAATGCACATATCTCTCATGAATTTTTTTCTTCCTTGGTAATCAAGGTCAAGTGGCATCAATCTACTTACTAAATAGTTAACGAAATCCACGTACCAAGGAAAAATTTCAACTACAAGTAACTTCTCATCGGGAAAAGTGTTTGGGATTACTAATAGTTTTCCATCTTCACTACCAGCTTCCAAGCATGATAAGTGATCAGCCACTTGGTTCTTGGACCCTTTTTTGTCTCTAACTTTAATGTCAAATTATTGAAGTAACAACAGTCATCTCATTAATGTTGGCTTGGTTTCATTCTTGGAAAACAAATGCTTCAAAGTCAAATGGTCAGTGCATATAATAACCTTAGTTCCAACTAAATAAGATCAGAACTTATTAAAGGCAAACACCACAACTAGTAATTCCTTCTTAGTTGTTGTATAGTTGATATGGGTAGCATTCAGTGTTTGATTGGCATAACGTATAGCATGGAAAACTTTTTCCTTCCTTTGCCCCAGCACTGCTTCAACAGCTTGGTCATTAGCATCACACATAAGCTAAATGGGAAACTTCAATCTAGTGTTATTATTATAGGAGTATTGAGTAATTGCAACTTGATTGTTTCAAAGGATTTCAACACTTTATCATCAACAAAAAATTTCCTATTTTCCTCCAGCAATGATCATAATGGTCTATCAATCTAGGAAAAATATTTGATGAATCTTTGATAAAAGTCAGTATGTCCTAAGAAACTTCTAATTAACTTCATGTTAGTAGGCAATGGCAGCTTCTCAATAGCTTCTACTTTAGCTTTATCTAATTTAATATCATGGTTAGAGATCTGATGTCCTAGCAATATACCATCGGTTACCATAAAGTGGCGTTTCTCCCAATTCAAAACCAAATTGGTTTCTTCACATCGTTTCAACACAGAAGCCAAATGATTAAGGCATTGATAAAATTCTTTCCAAAAATAGATAAGTCATCCATAAATACCTCCAAGTAGTCTTCAATAATGTTAGATAAAATTGCCATCATGTATCACTGAAAAGTTGCTGAAGCATTGCATAAACCAAACACATTCGTCGGAAGGAAAATATACCATATGGGATGGTCAAAGTAGTTTTCTCCTGATCTTTAAGAGCTATAGCTATTTGATTATAGCCACTATACGCATTTAAGAAACAATAAAATCCTTGTCGGTGAGATGATCCAACATTTGATCTATAAATGGCAACCGAAAGTGATTTTTCCTTGTTGCCTTTTTGAGCTTTCTATAATCCATATAGATTGTTCAAAGAGTATTGGTCCTTGTTGGTACTAACTCATTCTTGACATTTGTCACCACAGTAACTGCCTTTCTTTGGAACGCATGGTACAGAGCTTACCCAATTACTGTCCGAGATCGGGTATATAAACCCCAACATCCAACCATTTAATAATCTCCATTTGAATAACTTCTTTCATGATCAAATTTAACCTTCATTTTTTACTCGACTGAACTACTATTGTAGTCCTCCAGCAAGATTTTGTGCATATAGAATGTTGGCCTAATGCCTTATATATCAGAAATGCTTCAAGCATTCGCTCATTTGTGATGCTTCAAAATAGCAATTAGCTTGTTCTCATGTGATGCTTCAAGCTTTGCTATAACAATTACAGGTGAAGTTTCATTGTGTCCAAGGTATGTATACATCAAGTGCCCGGGCAAAGGCTTCAACTCGAATAGGCCTACTGTGAAGTTCCAATTATTCAAAATGCTACATATATTTGCCTTCAGCCTCCTTATCCTTGGTTATCTCTTTAATTGTCATAACATTGCTGGTAGCATGATTCATGTTGTGGTATTCATCCCAATGCTCCTAAACGAACATATCAATAATGTCAATTGAATACCATTCAACATTATCTTTAACATAAGAAACATTATTTTAGACATTAAAAGCAATGTGTTTATAATTCAAATGATAGTAAGTTCCCCTTTTTCAACATCGATCAATTCTCAGCCAGTAGTAAGAAAAGGTCAACTAAGTATGATGAGAACATCCTTGTCAGCTTCGCAATCCAATATGATGAAATATGTTGGAAAAATAAACTTGTCCACACAAACAACATATTCTCAATAATGCCAATAGAATGCACGGTGGATCGATTAGTAAGTTGCAAAGTGATGGTGGTTGGTATTGCTTCTCCACTCCCAAATTTCCTAAAATTGACAATGGCATTAGGTTAATGCTAGCACCCAAATCGCATTATGTTTTCTTAAAAATTGACCACAATAATGCAACGAATAGTAAAACTCCTTGGATCTTTGAGTTTATGTGGTAATCGGCTTGTAACCATATCACTATATCATTCAGTAAGTGCAACAGTTTCAAATTCCCCAAGTCTTCTTTTTGTGGAAAGAACTTCTTGCATGAACTTAATGTAGTTCGAATTTTTCTCCAATGTTTCAATCAACGAAATGTTGATTGTTAGTTGTCTAACCACATCAATAAATGCTTGAAATTGTTTGTTCTCTTTAGTCGTTAAGAAAATGGCCCATAATTACTACACTGTATTTGGTTGTTGTGGCATTGGAGAGGGTGAGGCATTCAGTAGGAAGGTAGGCATCGCTGCTGGCTATGGCCCAGAATTACTACACTATCCTGCTTCACTTGCTGTAACATTAGCAGTGGGTGTTTCAAGACCCACTTCCATGTCTTGCCTTTATAATACCTCGTAACCCTTTTATCATCCATTTTCTCAGGTTCTTTAACAAGCTTTCCAATGTGAAGACCACTTCGAATTGCAATGGCCTTGTAGTTTCTCATTACATTAGGTTTTCCCTTACTGCTTTAGATTTTTAGTGTCACTAGGCAGCGTTCCTTGTTGCCTACAACTCAATGCATTCACCAATTTACCAACTTGTTTTTCTAAAGCTCTTAAGGATGTTGATTGACTTTCCATATATTCCTTCAATAAATCTTAAAGAGATGTAAGACTAGTAGCTTGAATAAAATGTTGTCCTTGATAATTCTAGCACTGATGTGGCTGCATTGTTTGCTGATGTAACTAATGATGGGGCATCAATTGTTGTTGATTATAATGTTGTTTTTGTGGATTAGCAACATTTTAACTTCTCAAAGAGAAATTAGGATGGTTATGGTAGTTGGCATTATAAGTGTTTCCATAGGAATTACCATTCCTATTGTAGTTTCTCACATAGTAAACGGACTCAGAATTTTGAGGGCATTCTTCATAGTTGTGATCATCACCAAAATATACACAATAAATAATAGATGCAGTTTTTACCTCATACATACCCCTAGCTTTTTTATCTTTTTAACCATATATGTCAATCTTGTGATTTGGGAAGCCGTGGAATTAAAAGCATATGATCCACTCATGCAATATTGTATTTCCAAACATGTTTCTCGTATTCGGGCACTGATAATTATTGTTAGATATTCTTTCTAGAATATTATAAACCTTATTATACGTCTTAACCAGCAATTCTCCATTGACAGAAACATCAACCACTATACAAGCTTGTATATTTAAACTATTATAAAACATTTCCATTTGCGTCAAATATGGGAATCCATGCATCGGGCATTTCCACGACAAATCTTTAAATCTCTCTCATGCCTCATACAAATTTTCATATTCTAATTTCTTAAAAGATGCCAAATAATTTCTCAGATTTGCATTCATATTCAATGGATTGAATTTCAGTAATAATATTTTTGCTAACTCGTTCTAGCATGCTATCACTAGGTGGTAGCGAATTCAACCATTATCTAGCTTTATCTAGTAGTGAATATGGAAACAACTTCAGTTTCAGTGCTTATTTAGGGATTCCTTACTAAAAAAATGAGTCACACACTTCCATAAATGCTCAAAGATGTTCTCGAGGATCTTCACTGAATGAATCATTATACTGCCCCATGGATTGTAACATTTGAAACATCACCGGTTTCAGGTCAAAATTGACAGCGTAAATGGCTGGTCGACAATGCCATGATGTAAATCATCTAGCGTTGGCACAACATGCTCCCAAATAGATTGATTACGACATCTATATTATAATATTATTCCTGCTCAACTCCATTGATAATTAGTAATTCTTAACTATTATCATGTGGTAATAGCGATAGAGCCTTATTACCTCTATCTCGTACAATCATGTTTACTTGATTACGATTAGATTTTCTTTGACGGCTAAGGAATGTTCTTTCAATTTCATGATCAAACGGTTCTAGATCGGTGTCACTATGGGACATACACCAACAAAACTAGTCAATTAAATAGGTTCCTACAAAAAGAAATAGAACAAGTGAGTAAAAAAATAACTTTAATGCAAAACCAATGCTCCCTAGAAATTACGCCAAAAACTTGATGCTACGAAATTAATACAATAATAAACGCAAGTGTACGTGTCATAAATCAAGTAATAAAGTGGAAGCTTAGAAAGTTTTGAGTGTCAAAATCACAGAGAGCATTATGCTACAGAAGAGTTATGAAAAGATACTTAAACTTGAGGGAATTAGAAACAAGCTACTGGTTAAAAGTAAAATTCAAATCTAAAAATGCGAGGCAATGTTGTAGCATTAGTGAGAGCATTAGGTAAATGATTGAATGGATTGGTAATATATTTGGAAAATTCTATTACGAATATGTCATGAACTAAATGTTTATGCCTCTAGCAATGATTAAAATTATCTAACATACATATATCAACTCTCATTGAATTAATAAATTAAACTATTATAATGCTAGAAATTTGGGCAGCTTATATCTCACATGCAAACTTGCCTTTCAGCAAACCAAAGCTGAACAAAAATAGTACATCTATTAATGAATCTTATCTCTTAACATTATCAATAAACATCCATGAAGATAGTTATATCTCTATAACTATCTTAAAAACATCGCAACATATAACAAAAAGTCAAAACATGAAACATAATTAAAAGCATTCCACGAACGGCTAAGTTCATAACCCAAATATCATCCACATAAATTAAATAGCAGTCAAATCTACTTACTACTTCTCTATGTCTAAAGAAGAGAAAAAGTAAAAAATGACTTTTCTTAACCACCGATGCTAGTCTGCAAAGCTCCCAAGCTACTGCTGTGCTCCCAATGGAGGACTTAAGCTATCATAGTTTATCGAAGGTAGTGGAGAAAAATAATTGAATGTAGAAAATATGATATCAAATGATGCAAAGAGCTCTCTAATTTATAGGCTAAGGATTTCGGCCTTCAACCAATGGGTTTCCTCCATGTTAATACGATTTTTTAACCTTTTGATAGATGCCCCATTTCAGTTGTCCATTCTAGAATATTCTTCTAACCGCCTGATGAGTCATCAATTAATGCGCCTCTACACAGCATTACCTGCAGCATCAAGCAATGCTACATTATCAGCGTATCAATTTTTAGTAGTAAAGTAAAAACAAGCTTAAAGCACCTCACTAATTCCTATGATGAAAATTATGCAAAAGTATATACAAATGATCCACTAGTATATAAGCCCTCATACTTGGGCTGCTTGATTCTCCTGCAAACTCTTCCTTATAGTTTGCACCCTCTCCTTGACTTTAGCCAATCGTACCAAATCTGAGAATATCATAGGCATGTCGAATGTTAACGGTGCATGAATACTTATACGGAGCCTCTCAAGGGACCTTCTGCACCTTAAGGACTCAATTGAAACAAATTCGGATGTATATCACGTTAACCAAAAGAAATCTCTCTTGTACTCAAGCATCATATAATCTCCTTAACCACCTAAAAGGATTGTATCCTCAAGACGTCCTTGTACACTTCGATGACAAGTTACCCCTACATTCACCTAGAGATGGATGAAGATACCTATACACTCTCCTACCAGTCAATAACGTCACCCTTGAGTAGAACAACGACACAACCAAGCCTACCCTCGGAGGCAAGGTGAAGCTACCTCACATCCTCATGGTTCCTCTAAACCATTGATTGACTAGAATCGAGTCATCATCAACTAAACCATATAATTTTAAGGTCTTAACCCTCTATAGTCCCTCTTCCAAGACTATATCGGTGCTATGACACTCAGAATATCTGGTTGAGCAGTCTATGCTCTACGAATAAAATGTCCACTACCTCCTATAGTAGAGAAGTAATTCCTCCAAAAATGTCATCCTAATACTTTCACTAACATCAGAACCTTGCGATCCTCTACTCTAGGTAGAAACATATCATTAAACATTATTGGGATGAGAGACACAACTCTCCATCCTACCATCAAGAGTACGTTCAAAACCCAAAACCATTGCCACTTTCGTAAACATAATTATAAAGAGCAAGCACCACCAGGATTCTATTCTTCTATTAGTACTTTTAGTTCATAACGGTATGTATTCACCGACACCGTACTATAATCGACCCTTAGGTCCTATGATCGACTCAAACTAACGCTCTGATACCACTAAATGTAACATCCTAATTCGATCTAACCCGAAGTCCAGAGGATTCAAATATCACACAGAACCATCGAAGTGGCTAACCATTTTTTTTAAATTAATAACCATAGTCATCATTTAAAATCAATAGTTCAAATACAGTAATAAAATTCTTATTATAAAATTGAAGCTCCATGACACATAATTTAAATAAAATATACAACTCGAGTTTACAATCTTAAATACATAAGTAAGGGTCCTATGAATAAACATGTCAACTACAAGTAACTAAACAATACACAGTGAGGAATGTTGGAACTCTTATTACGACGGTGCTCCTCGAATGACTTGATATACTAACCTGCAAATAAAAACATCTAAAAACTGATCTTACAAAGCCTAGTAGTGTAATCGCTAATCTAGAGCAACATATGAATCACATAAACATAAGCATGCTATAAGACATAGTAATAAGCAGTAGGTACAAGCATGATCCTAATCAAGTGCTACCTACTTAAGGCTTAATAGTTATACCTCTTTAGTGTAAGTCTCATGCTTCCCTAGTCTCTACTAAGGGCTTCGCCATGAGTAAACATATACTTGGTCTCTAATTTCGGTTTCATCTTACTATGAATCATTATGTAACACCTAATGATAGCACCTAGTATCACAAAGACACCAGGTATAACCACACAACAACAAGTAAGCATCATGGTGTAGCTTGGGGTCATATAGCATCACGAAACTCACACCCCTATTTTCTTAATAGAGGTACCTTGGTCAAGACCTAGGTCACACAGCATCAACATCTCTCAAGTACCTCAGGCGATATCTGGGTCACATAGCATCGACACCTTCCAAATACCTTAGGCTAGGTTCGAGTCATACGACATCGGCACCTTGCTCGAATAGTCTACTCCTCAGTGAGATCCTTTGTCCAACTAGCATTTAAAGTGCCCTTGCATTTATTTGTTTATATATGGATATTCTTAAACAATTGGACAATCGTCACACACATATACAAGTAACTCGAGTGTCGTCATCATTTCTCAAGTGATGTAAGTCTCATGGAATCTTACCTTATAAGGTTTTCATGTTTATCAAACATATACTATTATCATCATGAGGTTATTTTATAATTATTATCAGCTATAACACCAATAGGGGAGATCACTCCTTGACTCCTATTTTTTTGTTCTCTCTCCTAGAACGTTATGCAAGAGCTTAATAGTATTGGTAACATCTTTAACCCATATACATACCCGTATACGAGTCAAAGATGTCACGTTAACCGTATAAAAATAATTACTATTTGGAAACTGTAAAAATTTTGTTCCTTTTTAAAAATTTAAAATCGAATATAAAATTTAAAGAAGTAATTCATAAAAATCATAATATAATAAGAAAACGCTAAAACCAAAATCAATTGAAAACTATAACTAAGCATTTTGATAATATTTACTACTATTGCCTATCATTTAAATACTACCATATTTCTAATAATAATAATAAGTATTATTTTACAAAAAAATGTGTCAAAATATTAAAACTAGACCCATTGACATGTTTAAAATATATACATGCCACTACAAGTATAAAATATCAAAAAGTAATGTCCTTACTGATTGAGATGGTAGCTGATTCTAATGAGGTGATATTAAAAAAAGACTACTCACTCAGCATATTTTTCTTTTCCTTTTCTATGTGTGAAACAATCACACGCTAAGTATTTCATACTTAGTGAGCAATTAAAGAGTTTTAATTAAAATCGAACTATATAAAATTATAGCATTTAAATTCAATAATAAAGAATTATTAAAATAAATACGAAATACATAAAATTAAACTTATCAAACCCTAATTTTTGTTCATTTTAATTTGGCTAATTTTGGGGACCAAATTGTGCGATTTTGAAGTTTTTAAGGTTTTTTTGGAACTTTTGTAAGTTCAAGTACCTAGTTTTAGATTTACCATTCTTTTTCAAGAAAAAAAGGGTTCGATGGTGTTAAACTTGTGGCCCTTAGCAAGCATAGTGTGCCATGCCTTAGCCATTAGGCTAGGGCACTATTCATGCTTTATTTTAATCAAAATATCCATATAACTTACTAGATCAGATATACCCCCAATCGTCTTCTCCACGGGAAAAAAAACTAAAACCTAAAAAATGTCTAAGTTTCTCATCACTGTCAAGCTCTGATCGTTCATCGTACGTCGTTCATGGTGTACACTGCCAGCAACCTGGTGATTGCCATCGACTCGCGA